TTTAAAATGAATTCTGAAGAGAATTTTTCGGGGCGTCTGTACGAACGTTGTGTACGTACATATCTCGCATAACTCAAAAACGAGTAGCCTCAGAACATGGAAATTTTGTATATAGGACTGCTATAATATGTAGATGTGCACCGTGTAATTTGGTTGCAATCCGCTGCACCAAACGTATATAAATATATATATATCCACTCTGTTACCTGGCTCAGTAATCTCAGTTTCTTTACTCTTATATGTTGTTAAATTGTACATTTTTTGCTTTAAAAATGATTAAATTATGTTGTTTTTATCTTCCGGTTAAGGTTTTTATGCCTTTAGTAAATCTGTATGCAATATTTTTAGAATTATCAACAATTTTAAAATTGTTTAAGTGTCGCTAAGCCTTTTTTTTTTTTTTATGGCGGCCGTTGATTGCTTACATTTGAAACAGCAGACTAGTGGATTTGTTGCCAATCTAGAGAAACTTAGCTTCGCAACAACAAAGATAACGCCTTCATTTATTATTGCCAATTAAATCATGCTTAATTCTTTCTGGAATTTTTTCGAGGAAATAAGTGTTTAAGATTTACTTGGTAATTTTTAATATAGATATTTTGACTTTTTATGTATTTTTGCCTTCTCGCAAAGTGAGAACTGAATTAATTGAATGAGAAATACTCAATAATCTGTGAAAAACTTTCTTTTTTGTTTTGTTTGCTTAATTTCTTTTATACGTTGTTCTAGCTTTATTATAGTTATTTGAATAGAACATGTGGCAACGATTAGATAATTCTATTCTTTAAATGATATAAATTTTGTGCATTATGAGTTATAATATGAATGAAATATAATACTGTTAAGTGAATCTAGTGCCAGAGTGTCACTATGGTAAACAAATACTAGAGTGAATTTTAAAGAATGCATTTATTCTATTGTGGTTTATGTGCTGTCTGCGAAGTAGATTTAATTCAATCCAATAAGTTTAAATAAAATGCAAGAAAAAATGCGTATAATTTAATATTCCGTACAAGGAAGTCATGTGGTGTACATATCAGATTTTTTGAAACTCAAATTCTTTATCAGATAAATCCAAATAACAGGATTGGCTGAAAATAAAATTTTCTACTATTCTTTTCTGAGTGTTCGATTCATAATGGAATTGAGATATTCTTAAGGTTATAGATGGCACCTTTTATTGGAAATGCAGATTAAAATTCTAGGTTGTAAAATTTTTGAAAATATCATTTTAAAATTCTGGATATTTCCATGATTTATCGGCTGTATCAAAGCAATTATGTCCAGGTTCTATTGTCTTGTCAAAGTGAGCAGTGTAATTAAACTTACATTTTTTAGATGTATGAGTGGGGCTCTTGAGTCTTATGTGTGCTTTATCATGGCTTTGGTAGTCTCTCATTTGCTTAATTTTTTGAAAAATTATTTCTGAAAGACTAAAATATTCCATTTATTGAAGCTTTCTGGTTAAATGCCACATATTTGGGTTTTACTACATATTTCACCGGTGTGGTGTTAAATAAACTTAATTTCTTATATTGAAAAGAAAGCAAGCCTGAGAATTTAACTCTTGAGAAACATTATTAAAAATAATTTTGATTCTTAAAATTCAATTTAACTAATAATTTTTTTGTGAAATTAGGCATATTATTTTAAACTTTTCCAGGGGGCTGGGACATATGTGTCTCGAACTAAGTAGACAGCAACTGGGGGCTCAGGACAGTTTGTCGTTGGTAGCAGGGGTAGGAAGTCTAGCACTTGAGGCTTGATCACTGTTTTATGACACCCCGTAGAGGGCGTTCTTTTGTGGGATTCCGCTAATGGATTGGGGAAAATTGTCCATGTTTTGAATTTACATGTCTTCTAGATAATATTTTTGTTGAGAGGAGAAAATAAAAAGAATAATTTGTTACTTCGATTCACATGCGTTTGCATTTTCAGATTTTTTCCTGTGCAAATACGGCTTGGAGGTCAAATATCAAAGAAAATATTTCTTGGAAGTTCGTCTGCTAAAATTCTTCGGAAATTATTTTAAAAGCTTGAATGTTTTTAAAATGCATAATTTACTCAGTTATTTCTGATTAAACTCTTTTTAATTTGGTTTCAATTCAAATTTGAAATTGTCTTTGTTTCATTCTTTTCAGAAGTGTTTTTATCACTTTATTCCAATTTTTAATGTGGATTTTAAGGCAGTGTAATAAATATAAATGTTTCAGGTGATGAAAATTAATTTTAATGTTATTTCTAAATGATATACATTTCACGACTACTGCTTACTTGAGTGAAATTTTGGTTTGTATGTTCTAAATGATAACTAGCGGCTGGGTAGGTAATATTTCTTTAACTCTGATAATTTAACCTTGATTAAAATTCTGATGAACAGATTGACTGCATGAACTTTTCTTTTTCTCTCACATACATGAAGGGTATATCAGCCAATTTCCTTTGAAGGTGCTCCACGATAGCCCCTTTTGCTTAGGTAGATAACACTTTCTTTAATCCGACAAATAAAAATAAAATTATATTCGAAATAAGAAAGCTAAACTTATGAGCGTTTCATAACTATGTTTAGAAACCCTTCCTTTTATGAATAATTTTGCTGACAAAATTAATTTTAATTGTGCGACAAATGAAATACTATTTTTTACTAAAGCATTTATTATGGAACATTTTATAATTCACAATTTAAAACAGTTTCAAAACTTATTAATTTATCCGTTGTTATATATTTGCGTCTATAATGTCATATCAATTGGTTCAGAAGTTAAACACTGCTTAGGTTAATTGGATATGAGGAAGCGCACAAAGGCTGCCTACCTAAAGAAAAAGATGACTTTGTGGAGATCTTTTAGAGAAAATTGGCTCATATTAATGTTTCACATGGGGGAAACAACGAAAACCGACCATGCGGAAGGCTCGATCGCCTGACATCAAACTAACAGCATTCAGCGGCCTTAACCACTCAGTTGCTAGTAGTGTTCAGAAAGTAATTAATTTTACATGAGAATTGTGTTTTGGAGGGAATGAAATAAGACATTGAATACTAACCATGTATACAGGAATTCAGATGTGTATTACTTTTTATTTCCCTGAATTTAATTCTCAGTGCGAATCTTCATTCCCAGCTTCATTACTCCCAAAGAAAGCAACTGTAAATAGCTTGAAATCTGACATTTTGATACCTAAGAGGTGATTTTTAGCAATCTGAAAATGTAGATAATAAAAAACTGAAGAAATATTTCGCTATTCGACAAAGATGTTTACTTTTTGAAATATCAATGCGTTCTTGTATATGCAATTTTGCATTCAAAGAAAAAATGGTGTAGTAATGGTGTAGTATGAAAAAATGGTAAAGAAAAAATGGTGTAATTTATTGAAGCTTTCTGGTTAAATGCCACATATTTGGGTTTTACTACATATTTCACTGGTGTGGTGTTAAATAAACTTAATTTCTTATATTGAAAAGAAAGCAAGCCTAATAATAATTTAGTAATATAAATCATCGAACAACTATCATACAAAGTAATATCTATCAACAAAGTAATATCTTATATCACTAAGTGAAAAAACTAAATTTTTGTTATTGAATACATTAAAACTCAACAAGGATTCTATTTTCTAAAGCTCCAGGGTTTGCATCTGCATTTCTTTCTTGAATCCAAAACTATGAAGTGGTTAAAAAAAATTAAACATCATATATGCCTAATGTAAAGGCAGATTAACTCTGACCGCTATTTGCAGCGCCACATGGAAGAAAAATAAATAAAAAATTTCTTGTATAATGCATCTTAAGTTTTTAGTGCAGTACAAACGCAGTGACCAATTTCTATTTCTCCAGAAATGAATATTACCAGAGGTGCAAAAGTAATAACACTCATTTTGGAATCCGGAAATGCTTTTTAGTTTCTTTGTAGTAAATAAACTCTATTTAATTTGCTATTCAACATCAGAATAATAATACTATTAAAAATGAAAATGTATATATTGTTTGCAGGAAATGTTTGAATATTCTAACTTAGTGAATTTTCGATAACGATGTCAAGTGAATATATTTAACTTCGATTGCTTCACTTATTTTTTAGTACATAATCTACGTGCAAGTTTAAAAAACTATTTTAATCATAAAATGGAACACTTTCTAGAACAAAATTTTCTAGTTGTAACATACATTTCATCTGAAGATAAAATAATATTCCCCCCCCCTGGGAAAACTGATTCATCTACCTGCAGTGTGAAAGCGATTAGAGTGCATCCCACATTCTAATGCCTAGAGCATTGGAACTGGATTGAAAGGAAATCCGACCGTTTCCCTGCTTGTCTGGCAAGAGCACTAATCACCTAGTCGTCAAGACTCAATTCGATAATTTTTCCAACTTTCCACAACCGCTGAGCCAAGAGTCCCCAGTGAAGGTACACAACTGTTTTTCGAGCCCACGGGAAAAGGATAAATCATCATCATTTTAAAAAGGGCACATAGGCTCAGTTTTTAAATATATATTGGAAAAGCATTCATTATTTCAAAATTAGTATTAACAAATGTTTTAATGCTGTGAATTAAATGACATGTAAAAAATGGCTTAGTACAAAAATCATAATACATACTTATCAATATTTTGAGTAGGTTAAATAGAGAAAAATCTCTTCTCTGTTCATTTCAGCTCATTGATGCGTAGCATCAATTGCTGTATTTGATCTTCATTGATCTAATACAGAAATTATTCCTTATCTTATTATTAATTTCGATAAAAATTCCTAGAATTTCCTGTGCTTTTTTTATGCATGTTTCATTGTACAGAAATTTGTTAAATATATTAATTTTTCCTCATTTTAAATTTTCTTATTATATTTAATAGCCTGGTTATAGTAAAAAAAGTCTGTTCAATTTTGATAAAATTTTGTAAATCCATAATGTAAATGTTTTGAGAGTTATGTAAAAATCATTTGCTTGTTAATAACTTAGTAATCAAATTAGTACGAGAATTTGAAATATAATTTTTTTTCAGGCAGCATTTCTAGGACAACAAACATTTTCAGACTGTGACTTCCTGATAAAGGTTCTAGATTGTATGTTCTTTAATACTTTTGTCTCTGAGAGAGGTCCTCCTTACCGAGTCTGTGATATTTTTGATGAAGTTAGTAACTTTTAATAAATATAATTTTTGTAAATAATTGTATCAAACCATTTTTTGCTAATTTTATTATAGAATTAATGATGTATATATATATGATATTAACACAATTTTTAATAAGAGTTGTTTGGAAATTACGTATGTGAGCTAACTTATAATTTGTCTTTCAAAGTTGGAAAATTCATTGAAGTTAAAGAATTTATGCTATGAAACCCCATTAAGCATATCTCTCTGCTTATCATATAATTTTTTATAAATCCCATTGCTTCTCCCATCACCATTCAGTGGTAAACTTTGTCTACTATGTTGTTGACTTTTTAATCCTGTATTATTCTTCTTCAGCTTCCAAAAATGTGATTACTTGGCAGGTTTTAATCAATACTCAAAATCTAAAGACCCATGTTTTCACCCTCCTCTCAAAGTATCCTTTGAAATAATAAGAAACTACTTTGTAAAAATGCAGTAGTAGGTTAATTTATCAAATTGCGTCATACTAGATTAAAATAATTATATGCACGAGGCTAATGTCACAAAATATTAAAAGTAATAATATTAATGATAATCTAGACCAGTGATTCTCAACCATGGTACGCAAAAAAAAAAAAAAAAAAGGGTGGTATGCAAAGAAATAAAATATTTTAACTATTAAATTCAAAAACTAAATACCCCAACATCCTGTTAAGTTTTCATAACTTTATGCGATCTGAGCTTTGTTCAAGATCAAACACTGCTCATAGACGTTAGCAAAATAATCCATTTTTATTCTCACAAAGATGCTATTAGCCACAGACATAACAAAATTTGTCATAAATAATGTTTTCAAAAGGAGTAATAGAAATATATATTATATTTAATAGGAAATAAAAATAAGTTCCTATAAAAGGATAATAGTACCTCATTTATTCTTTTAGAGTTGATCAATTTCTTAGTATGTCCATACTTTGTGTCGCCGTCATTTCCGAACTTATATTGCTCTTCTTTCAATTAGAATCTTTTTTTTACATCGATTTTCTGTCTCTACATCGATTGCAAGTATTTTGTTTTCTTGTTGTTTTGTATTCCTTACTTTTCTACGTGATTTGAGAATATCATCGTTTTTGTTTGAAGAACTTGTAATAAATATATTGTGCATATAAATTATTGTGAAAAAATAATAAAACAAACCTAGATTTTCAAAATGGAAAAATGGCTAAGCCAAAAAGTGATGGATCCACAATAACCTACTAGTGCTAAGAATATTGAAAAAAAAAAAAAGTTTATAGAAAATATATTGGAAGTTATTTATTATATGGGTTTACTTGAAATAGATATGAAACCCTCAACCTCAGTGCGTTGTTTGCAGTGAACTATCATCAAACCGAAGAATGAAACCATCATTTCTTAAAAGCTATCTTGAACCTAAGCATGCCAATATAAAGGATAAATCTGAAGAGTATTTTAAAAGGAAATTATCGGAGTTCAAAAATAGTAAACAAGTAATGAAGGGTTTTGCTACTTCGAGTGAAATATCTTCGGAAGATAGTTAGTTACCTACCAAGCCTAAGAATTGTCAAGACTGAATAGGTCCACACTATATGGGAAAACCCTTATATGACCAGCAGCTAAAGATACCGCTTTAACATTATTCAACGAAAAAGCAGCTAATGAACTTAATTCTGTTATCAAATAATAAATAAGTCAACGAATTCATGAAATGGCAATTCCATAAAAGACGCACTTATTAAAAAATAAAACACAGTGAGTATTTCGCATTACAGTTGGATGAAATCGCTGATATAACGTACTTTGTTCAATTATTAGTTTACATATGTTTCGAAGACAGTAAATGAATTGTCGAAGAGTATTTATTTTCTGAATCTCTTCACAATGGAACAACTTCAAACAAAATTTTCAAATTGACAATTTTATGTCTGAGAATGATATTCTTTGGAATAAGTGCATTGTTGTATACAGTAATGAAGCCCGGGCTTTAACAGGAAAAAATTCCAGTGTTATTTCTCAAATAAAGTCACACCTGAAACTAAATTTACTCACTACTGCATTCATTGTGAAGCTTTAGTAACCAAAACAAGTCCCGAAAACCTGAAAATCTTTTTGAATCAAGCTGTGAAAATTATTAATTTTATTAAAACCGAGCTTTAAATTCAAGAATATTTACGATTTTATGCCAAGAGATAGGCAGTGAACATCTTTTTTAACCTCAGTCAGATATTCAAATTTTCCTCTGCAATTCAAATTTGAATTACAAAAATATTTATTTCGTGAATTAAGGTTGACACATTTAGCATATTTAGCTCAAATCTTTGGAAAGTTAAATGAGCTAAATGTAGGATTATAAGGACAAAGTGTTAGAGATACAATAAATGCAACTATAAAAAACTTGAGCTACTAGTCAAATAATTGGATAACAATATTTTAAGATTTTCACCACTTTCAGAAAGTTTTCTAACCGAAAATAGTTTGAAAATGCTAAAAGTGCTCTAAATGCTAAAAATGTTTATGAGAAAGACATTTTTGTTAAACATGATTGAAAATAAAAGAAGAATTAGCATCTGACATTAAAAATCATTTTTTTTTCATTGATAAATAATTTCAACATGTATTTTTCCTGGGATTATGAAAATGAAAATTGGGTCAGAAGTCCAATTTGTTCAAATGTACCTGAAATTTTATCTTGTGGTGAAAAAAGAACAATTGATTGAAATTTCCTGTGATCGAATTCCAACCGAAGATTTCAGAAACAACACTCTTGCTAACTTTTGGCTGGGCTAAAAAAGAAATTAAAGGCATTTCAAATAAAACTTTTTTTTCCCCCATTTTCCACAACCTATTTGTGTAAACAAGGATTTTCTTCCATGTTACATTTGAAAAATAAATGTGGAAGAAAATTAAAAGTGGATCCTAGTTTACGGTTAAAACTCAAGGAAAACATCATCAAATAGGCAACCTGAAGCAGTATCAAATTAGTGATATACACTGATTTCATGTTTTATGATGTTCATGCATTCTTATTTCTTATTTGTTATCAGTATTTTTTATTCATAAATAATATTTTTAAAATATTAGTGTATTAAATTCGAAAGTGTGAAATTTTTTCTTCTGTTTACTTTTGAATGTTGAAAATATTTTGTAATTTAAGTACTAAAAATGTTCATTTTATGAGAAAGACATTGGGTAAACAGATTGTAATTTGTGTTCATTACTTTATTTTAGGTTAAAAATAGAAATAATATTATAATATTTGCCTTTTTAGATATATGCAAGTATGCAGGATACACTGAAAGCAGAATCTAAAAACCCATCATTAGTTTTGCAACATATCCAAGAATTAGCACAACAGTTATATTTAAATGTATGTATATTTGTCTTTGCTAATAAATTATAAAAATGAATAATTGAAATATCATTCTGACTTTCGAAAACTGAATTTTTTATTCCTTGTGATTTAATAACAGAAAAAGATAAATAATTTATGTTTGGGATATTTTCCATCATGTATTATTTTGTGTAACTTGAATAATAAATATTAAAGCTAAAATTTTGTTTATGTATAATTAGAATGTTAGTGTTTTAAAGAAAGATTGAATAATGTACCAAAAGGTAAAATAGTGGTGTTTTGAAAAGAGCAGCAATATATTAAAAAGTGGGGATTTTTCTTGCACTTATTCATTGTAAGCATACTAAATCCATTCATATTTAATTTTCATTATTAAAATTGAGAAAATAATTTATTAACTTGTAGAAAATAGCATTGACCTTTTATTTATTATGACAGATTTTCTGTTTAAGAATCTTATTTTCTGTCGTGTTAGTCATAAATAATTTGTTTCAATTCCATTGAAAATTTATAGGGTACTAAATGGTATTGATGACTTGTTTCCTTTTTTGTATTAGCTTGGTTTATACTTTTATAACTTTGGGTTTGCAATAATGGTGGAGAATATCAAGAAATTTAAAATCAATTTTCTGTGCATATTAGTGCAGATTTTATTATACCATCCAAATTAGTGTTATTTTTCATTTTAGATTTTTTTAAAGTTATGAAGTTATAAAATAATTTGTATATATATATTTTACTTTCATTTCAGTTTTTAGTAATGTTTGTAATAAGAATTTTAAAATTATATTTATGTAATAATTCCCGATTCTTGTATGAATATTAATGCAATGATAAATGAATAAACAAAATAACAAACTTGATGCAAAAACAGTGCATTATAGTTCCAGTATAACTGTTTGATTTATAAAGGATTTTTTTCTTTTTATTTTCTTTTCCTTGCTTTTAATCAGTAATTAAGTATATTATTGATGCAAACTTTTGGAACTAAATTGTTGCATCTTCTAGTTGATTGGCAGTCTTTCCAGTTCTGTTCTCAGAATTATCATTACTTAAGTTTGTTCAAATAAAGTAGAAAGATTTAATTTAGGATTGTAATAATGGAAAATAGCGATTGAGTGTTCATTACGTTATCCTTCTCTAATTATTTATGGATGATTTGAGGCATCAGGAGTAGGAGAGACAACAATATGAGCATGATTCAAGTTACAGGGAAGTGGAAATGAAGTTATCTTATTACGTATTGTAATGTTAATACTACTATGCATTCTTATTTGAATGTAAGTTTCTTTTAAAGAAATAATATTGTAATAATTACCTGTAGTTTGTCCATGACTGCTTTTCATTTGTTATGTTCTTATTGTAACTGTGCCCTTCAAAAATTAAATGAATTGCATAATTTTTCCCTCTTGATTTCTCCCTGATAAAATTAGTAAAGAGCCAGAAAATACATTACTTTTCTTTTAGCCTCCACTTTTATATCTTTAACTTCATGTGATTCCATTTGTTCTAATTTTATGTAAATTATATACTATATTTATCATTTTAAATTTACTGTTTTGTTTGACATATATTTGTTACATATTCTTGGTGATAGTTTTTTGGCACTAAGAAACAAAAAACCAAAATGTAAGTATCAAAAGTGAAAATAAACAACAAAGTAATTCAGAAAACTTCAGTTTATTTCAAAGGAATTCTATCCTATGTAGGAAAAAAAAAAAAAAAAAAACTCATAAAACTAGCAATTTTGATATTGCATGTAATTAGAAGAGTGGAGAAACCATATTGGAAGATTATTACCTGAACAATGGATTGTCAGTGGCATCTGTAGCAAAACATGCATTTTTTTTTTTTAGTGGTTGAAAACGGAACTGCTAAAACTCTAATGGAAGTTACTATAGACAACATGACTGCCAACACAATAATACTTGCGGATTTTTGGAAAGAATATTCAGTGCAGCAGTGGATAAGGATTACGAAATGTGACTGGAAGTCTTTTGTCGCCAAAGAAATCCCTGGTGTCCAAGTATTACTGTATACGCTCACATAATGTCCGCACTTTTTTACAAAAATACAGGTGCAGACATTACACGGGTCATTCAAATGTCGTGCTTTTTCTCATGAGTAATTTTGTGTGTAAATTTCATTTCAAACAGCCAAGTTAAGTTCTAAGTGGAAGAAAATAGCATAAGTAATAAAAGTATCAAATTTAAGGTTGTTTAATATCTACCTAAAATTTACAAACTCTTTTTCTCCCATCCACGTAAACAATATAAATTACCCCGCTTACGTTATCAACACTCAGCGCGCATTAGTTCGCACAGGAGCACAAATTAACCAACACTTGCAATTTTAATATTTACTTTCACACAAATCAAATAAACGTTGATTCTTTTAATATCTTGAACACATTATTTTTTAAAATCTATTCTGACGCACAGTATGAAAATCCATTTCATTTCATCATTCGCCTTAAACTGCGGTGTAGGAATGTCTTCTTCTCGACCCGCAGCAAATGTTCTTATTTGGCGCATTTTCCGTGTTACTGCATACCTTTAAGCATGCATATTACAAACATATGCAATCTACTTTTTTTTTGTAAGTTCGGAAACTTACATTTCGAACCACGAAACGCACGTCTTGTTTTGTTCGTTGCCGCCAGTTGATCACACTCTTTGCTCTAATTGCGCACACGCATTTCGTCCAACTTATACTCTTGCTGCTGCTGTTTTTCCATTTTCCTGCGAAGATTGATGACTTTCAGTTTAAAAGCCATTGTATAGCTGCTGTATTTTCCAATTTCAAGCATGCCACTTGCTAACTACCACTAATACTAGAATAGAAGATATTGTGAATGATACGAGAAAGCTTGAAATATGCAAATGCTCCAAGGAGGAAGGAGAGGAAAGTAATTTCATTACAAAACTGTATTTCATGGAAGCCAGTGTGGTGAAAACCTGTCTGGACTGCTTTCATTTATTATTATGACTGCTGAGTGGATTGCTGGTGCCGATGTTATGACTGAATAACAGCTGCACCAGAATGCAAGGAAAGTCTCTGCTTTCCATCCTAGCACCAACCAAAGACATAACAAATGCATGTTCTTTCTTTAAAAATGTTTATTGAGTAAAGGGAGAAACGCGATGTTAAAAAAATATATATATATTTTAAAGTAGGAAATTCTTTAGCTTTTGGGGTGCGGACATTGTGCCGGTCACTTTTCTTTTACATAAATTTTATCTGTAAAGTTGGGGTGCAGACATTACACAAGCATATACCGTATATGTAACCCATTAAGTACCTTTTATTTTCGTATGATTTATTTTGTTTACTTTATTATTATTTATTTATTGATCATGCAATTTTATGCATTATTTAAATATTTGTTATTTATTTTCATCAATTTATTTAATAACTTTTGTTCATTGTGACTTACAACCTGCGTACTAAATAGGGCTTTGGCATTTTAGTTTTTTTTTTTTTTTTTTTTTTTTTTTTTTTTTTTAAATTGAAAAATGGTTGTTTGGGAAATCTATAACTTGGTAAAAAATATAAATGTGCTGATAGATTATAGTATTGTGATATTTGTATTTTTATGATATATTGAAGATTGGCACCACCTTTTTAAAAAGTAGTATTAATAATATTTTTGTCAGAAGAAGGGTAGAAAATTCTAGAATATTGAGGTTAGTTTCACTATGCCTTGCAGTTGAAAGCACCAGAAAATAAGATTATTGTATAATATTATATGTTAGTGAAAGACTTAAAAATGTTTAAATATATATGTATTCTAATTCATCAATGATTAATTTTATATTAGAATATACATAATGTTTTCTTCTTTTCCTTAGGAGAATCCAAATCCTCAACCTTATGTACAGAAAATACCAAAACCTACAGAAGGAGCTTTTACTCGAATTCATCAGCCACCATTTCCTATCATATGTTCAAAAATTGTACAAGATATAATAGATGAAGGCATGTCTAAACAATCGCTCAGGGCAAAGTAATATTCTTAAATAATAATATTCTTAAATAATATTTTTAATTCTTCTCCTATGCAGTTTTATTTTCCTCCCCTTTGTTGAGAAATGTCTTCTAAAATAATCTTTTTCAATATATGGCCCACAGTTTACAAAAGGCTTTAATCCAGTTAACCTGTTGAATTTTTTTAAAAAATAACAATACTTAGAAATAGAAGTAGCAGTTTTAGAATTAAAGCATGATGAGAGTAATTACAGGCTACTTTTCCCTCATTACGAGAAATATTACCAGCTAAAATTGTTGTAGTTTCTCTCTAAAATTTTGATCTCTAAAATTGAATAAAATTTTGATAGTATGGTAATTTTTGTTCTTAAATGCACCAGTTTTTGAGCTTCATCTGAACAAGTATGCAAATTTTAAACATTTGATTCAAGTTATGCAATAAGTATTTAGTAGTGCTGTACCATTGAATTTATTGTTTCAAGAATGGAAACCATAAAAATAAAATCAGGACACCTTTTAACAATTAAATTGTCTTAACCATATATATATATATATGTGTGTGTGTGTGTGTGTGTGTGTGATAAAAACAAACTTAAATATAATGTAATGACGAGCACAATTGATGAAGTAGGGCATCTTATCTGAGCCCTTCAGTCTATTTACTTAAACATTATTGAACATTTGTAGAGATATTTGGAGTTCACATTTTGTTCTTGAATTCTCTTGCCAGTTGGGCTTTTGGAAGTAGAATTAGTATGCAGAAGAAATGGCTTCATTTTCCTATAAAATTTCATACAGACCTGCATACAGTGTCCAGTGTCTACGTCAGTTGAAAATGGTCTAGCCCGATTAATAAAAATTATCTGAAATTTTATGAGTTTTTCATATGATTTTGAACTCTAGCTGTAACTGTTCCTGCTTTTAAGATGTATGCTAAAATTTCAAACAAATCAGCTTTACACTTTTGCACGAGAGCACTTTTGTATAACAAAATGAAAAAAATCATAAATACTCTGTTACTAATTATTGATACAATTCTTATAAGCATTTGCCTGTTAAAATTATTTTACATAACTTTTTCAGTATGTGAAAGTTTTTTTTTTTTTTTTTTTTTTTTTTTAAATTAAAGGTGTTTTAATAACCGAACACATCAAAGATAATTTCAAGGATTATTGTTTGACTGAGCATAGAAATTATAAGAGATGAAAATGAGAAATCTTATATTTATGGATAAGATCATATAGTGATTAAAAATAATTTATATTTGTAGACTCTCTGCAATTAAACCTCAGCAACCAAGAATAGTGCCTGTTGGACCTCAAGCGTCATCATGGCTTGACAACCGAGGCTTAGTTACTAATAGTGCTAGGCGCCTTGAAGTTCTACGAAGTTGTGTCAACTGTATCTTTGAAAATAAAATTTCCGATGCAAGAAAGGTACTAATTTCTGTAAACATTTAATATTTTTTGATAAATTAGGAATTAATACTCATTAAAATTTTCAGTTTCTAATAATTAAATAAAAAATATGTGCTGACTATTTCTATTTACAGCAGTTTTGTTTTTGCAGACATTTCCAGCTGTTCTTCGAGCTTTAAAAAACAAGACTGCTCGTTTAGCATTAACACAGGAACTTGCATTACATGTAACAGGAAACAAAGCAATGCTAGAACATCAACAGTTTGATTTAGTTGTCAGACTGATGAACTGTGCTTTACAGGTGTGTATTCCTTAAATTGAATAAAAAATTTTAGTGTTATCATCTAATACATTAATTTGACCAGTGGTGTTATAAATCTTCAGTGTTTATTTTTCTTTAAAATTGATTAAATCTTAATAAGTTGTTAAAAATTATAAAATGGTATTAATGTTTACAGTTCAGTTGTACATACTATGAATTATGATCCATTTACACTATGTATGCATTATATACTGGATATTTTAAAATATACACTCCAAATATGTTTACATAACTCCAAATGTGTACTGAGAGAATTTGGGACCATTTTCAGTGATGTGTTGTATATCACTCAATGCTTTACCTATAGGAGTATTAACATAATCTGAATCATTTACTACTACTGATTTGTATATGCATAAATTAAGTAAATTTTAAATGTCATTATGTTGTTGTTTTGGTTTCCCTTTGGTATCATTTTTGAAATTATTAAGCAGCTTACTATCAAATATAATACCTTTTGATTATGTGTGTTAAAAATCATAAGGATTATGCTAAGCTATCTGGTAGTTTTATATAGCCAAATAATGACTATAAGATAGCTGTCATAGTCATACCTTTCTTCTTGGACATGTGAGTTCTGGATATAGTATATATTTACTTCTTAATGTAGACGTGCTCATACTGCGGGCATTGCATAAACAGATGTTTAACAGAACGAATATTTATTGACACACGAACAAATAGTTAACACTAAAATAGAAACCACGTTTATCATTATGCCGGCATACAGCGGGTCACTTTCATTACTTCGCTACTATCAGTTTCTTCTCTTCCAACTTAAATCATGTGAGAGAGAGGCGTTGCAGGTCGTTTGGCTAAACTGCACATGTGTGGTCAACACGTCATGACACCTCCCCTCTAAAAGATTTGATTGTGTCTTTCAACGACCTGTCAAATCTACACAAACATTTCTTGAGACCAAAATAATAATAATAATAATAACATTCATGAAATATTTGAACTCAATTAACCAATTCTTACCATTTTAAACTAAAGTTACTTCAACATAAATTCAGTAATCTTAATCATTTAAAAAATGTAATATTCAATCAACTTTTTAAACTTAAATCTTTCACACCATCATAATCATACAAGCAGTTATCGTATAAACAAGACAATACAAATTAATCATTAAAATTGAACATTATACTTTAGCAAACCCTGGCTAAATTATTAAACATATTACATAACGTTAGAAAAAAATCAAAAGCTTAGCATTTTAGCTCTAAAAAAAATGTTCAAACTAAATAGTTAAAATGTCTTATAGTTCATAGTTCATAATGTCAGTCATGCTTCACTTACTGGAAAATATAATCATGTCATTAAGTCACGTCATCAATATAAAACTCAGCATAGGCTTTTAGTCTACACATGTTACCATTCCATTTTGTTGACACACAAACTACTGGATGAACATAGTCACTTTCTGATTCAATGATTGGCTTTACTTCCAGGTTTCAGTTTGATGTTATGTTCGCTGGTATTGGCAATTTTTAGAATACCAAATTTTAAGTTCTTATGCCTTCTTAAAATTTCCATAAGTTCTTTTCTCTTATGAGGTTCAAGGTGCGTAAGGTTATATTCTTCATTAGAATAGTGTTCTTTTGCTTTCTGTGGAACAATTCTTGGGATGTTTTAAACTTTGCCGAAATCAATGTCTGTATCATATATAACACTGACATTATTCACAGCAGTCTTGAACTCTTGTATCTTGTTTGCATGAACATGCTTCGAAGAATTGTCAGTACAAATGCCTGTGTAACTATAATTAGTATGCTTTTTGATAATTGTAGCAGGTCCAGTTCATCTGACATAAACTTTGTTTTGACTATCGGGGATTAAAACTATAACCCTGTCACATTCCTTAAATTCTTTATGATGAGTCTTCTGGTTATGGTAGAATGCATAAGCTTGTTGCTTTCCAACAGCTGTAAGTCCTGCGTACTCAGCAGCTTTTTCTAACTTCATCTTCAAATCATTCAGATAATCAGTCACTGAGCTTAATTGTCCATTAGAAACAGGAGTTTCATCAGTCCATGACGTCTTCAAGATAGACAAAGGGCCATTAGAACGTCTTCCATAAAGCATCTGGAAAGGACTAACACCAGTCGTTGTATTAGGAACTTCTCAATAAGCCCAGAGTAAGTATGGTAGATGTTTCTTCTAATCTTTTGAATATTCTCTGATGGTATTATATATCATTCACTTTAAAGCAGTATTAAATCTTTCTACAAGGCCATTGGAACTTGGATGGTAATGAAGCAGTAAAATTAGTTCCTTGATCCAAAGCAACAATCTGAGGGATTCCAGTGCGTGTAAAGATTTGCAACAACGCATCACATGTTGATTTAGCATTCAAATTCTTCAATGGTACCACTTCGGGCCATCTTGTACATTGATCAACAGCACACAGAACATATTTATAACCTCGACAGCTTGGTTCTAAAGGTACGAAGATATCCACATTAATTACCTGGAATGGTTCATTAGGACATAGTACTGGCGTAATCGGAACTTCAACAAAGGGACACTTTTTTGCTTGAAGTTGACAAGAATTACAAGTATTACAATATTCATTTACATCTTTCTTGATTTCAGGGCAATAGAAGGAATATCTGAATCATTCAGCTGTCTTCTTGTTTCGCAGGTGACTCACAGGTAGAATGAGCTAAGTCCAAAATTTGTTTTCTTCTTTCTTAAGGAACATCTAACTGGTGAACTCTTTCTCCTAAAATTCTATCTTTATGATACGATAAATAACAATAAAGTTATTACTTCTGTTCTTACCATTTTGCCAGCATGTTTCTAAAGATGGATCATTCATTTGTTGAACTCAAAACAGTTCTGAATCCGAAACACATTGATCGTATCTTGTGCTACCTTAACAGTTTCATTACACTCTTCATTAATTAGGTTTTCCTCATTATGGTTAAGTATTTCGTCAAAATTTTCAGTTTCGAAAGACATTTCAACCAAACCATCATTAGTATTGTTTTGCATTCAAAATTGTACAATTTTGCATTCAAAATTAAACTTTTGTGTATCATCCCCAATTAACTCATTAAAAGCACTTAACGGCAAGAGTAAATCATTATATAACTTATCCACCATTGTACACGGCTAAAAAAAAAAAAAAAAAAAAAAAAAAAAAAAAAAAAAGACACAGTTCTATATCTCCTGTTCTACTGGGCCGATTCTCGAAATTCAAATTGCATTCTTCATGTCTCAAAAGTGTGACTTAGGATATATATTAGATTTATATATAGCACTACTCTAAGATAGGTATTTTGACACAAAAATCAGACTTTTTCTGAAAAACATACCAATTTTTTTACATATTTCGATACTACGACTCAAATTATGCCTTAATATTAAATTTCGTAAAATTTGGTGCAAAATTTAAGGAGAAATTCAACAATTTATGTTGGCACTTTTTATTCAGTTTGCGCCAAAATTAGTTCACTTGGTGAACTTCTTAATATGTGGGAACATATTTTCATTTCCATTTTTACATAGAAAGAGGAAAGTGCATAAGAGGAAAAAAAGACTCAATCATTCCTTTTTTCGAATAATGTTCTTTATCTTATATTTTTATTTATAATTGTTATTAATTTTAATTAATCAATTTTTTTTTTTTTTTTCTTTTTCGAATTTATTTTAATTGTTTAAGTTGCATAGTTTCTTTCGAATAACTGTTTTAAAAATTTCTATTTACTCATCCAAACTGCATGGTTTAAATCAAAGGTGCATCGTTTATTTTTTTTTTCAAATAGTTTTCTTTATACTATATTTTTAGTCATAGTTACTATTCTAGGTAATTTTTAAATTTTTAGACTTAATTGTTAGTGTTGCATTGTCTCTTCAGATATTTATTTTAAAATTTTCTATTTATTCATTCGAACTGAGCATTTTAAATATATTTATTAATATAAAGTTTCCAGAATTTGATTTTATTTATTTGAATTGCGTTTCTCTTGGAAGAATACTTTGTAATGCAGACTACGATGCATTTGAAAACTGCATATATTCAAAGATAAATTCAATAAAGCACACTTAACATGCCTTTCAATGTTCCGTTCAGAAAAGATATATATAAATAAGAGAGATGTATAACTAACATTTTAACTTAGGATGACTTGCATACACTGCTTTAAACAGTTTTATTATTGTGCCCATTGCTTTACACAATTTCATCCTACATTTGGTTTTTTAAAATGTTATTCATGTTTGAGTCAAATATTTTATTTTTGAAATCGCAAGAATAAAATATCATAAGATTAAAAAGTTTTAAATTTTAAAAAAGTACAAAAATTTATTTTTTCTTCTCTTTTTCTTCAGGCATTCTGCTTCATTCTTGCTCTTTTTCTTTAGGCATTCTGCAAGTATATAAGAAGCATCCAAATTTTCGAAACATCTTGGTATTTCTGACAATCATTTTAAATAAAGTTATCGCCTTCCATTTCATAAAGACCCACAAACAGCCAAGCGGTAAAGTCGCTGAACACTGGTAGTTCACTCTGGGGTTCGAATCCCGGTAAACGGGCTGGTTGCATGGGCGTTTTAGTGGATTTTCTCATGCGTAACGTGTATGCCAGCTGGCTTCCCTTAGAAATTTCTTTACGAAGGCATCCTTCGTTTTAGGCAGATAGCCCTGCTTTGCTGTAACTTAATCAGGGTTCGTAGCGGTCCTTACAAGTGCTTATAAGTCCTTATATTTGAAAATAAATTATAAAGGCCCTTATAGGTGCTTACTTTTTCTTTAAAGCCTTTTTTTTTTTTTTTTTTTTTTTTTTTTTTTTTTTTTTAAGTGCTTATTTTTTGCTTTTAGGGCTTTTTTTTAATCCTTTGTTTTTAATGAACACTCATTTTTTCCCCGTACCATAGCTGAAACTAAATGAACAACATCTCTTCCTTATATGCAACGTCAGATGGTGAATCATACTCCCGGAAATTGCTATTCCCCCCTTCCTCTGCATTAA